ATCTTTGTTAATTCATTGAATGATTTGTTTAACAACATGACAAAGCTATTCATACTAAAATCTAAAAACCTGATCCTTAAAGGATTTAGAATAACTAATCCAACTAATGATAAGGATAAGGATTAACTAATCTAAACCAACTAAGGATAAAGACTAATTAATCCAATTCAACTAAGGATAAGGAATAACTAATCCAAATAAACTAAGGATAAGGAATAATTAATCCAAACCAACTAAGGATAATGATAATTAATCCAAATCAATTAAGTATAAGGAATAATTAATCCAAACCAACTAAGAATAAGGAATAAATAATCCAAACCAACAATGGATAAGGAATAATTAATCCAAACCAATTAAGGATAAGGAATAATTAATCCAAACCAACTAAGGATAAAAATAAAAGGGTGGCCCAATTTATTGGTGCTACTTGCTGCAAGTTTAGTGTTCTTTTCACTCCAAGGTCAGGCCCTAACACGGGTAGGGCATGCTACATAGCACAGACGTGCTAAACTAGTATGGCCAGGTCGTGCTTTCTAGCACGAGCGTGCTACAAGCTACAAATTCAATTTTGCATGACTCCTTGCAACTTGTCTTTGGGTAGTCCCACATACGCTTCAAGTAATGTAAAAAGCTTAGGTATGCCTTTAAGTTCCACACAGCACTTATTGAAAGCAAGGTTATGGAGCTCTTGTGTAACTTATTCTTGAACGTATAAGGACATGGCTGCCCTATATCTCTTTGCACGACTTCTTGTAATTGGCCCACTAGGAAGTATCAATGGGTTTCCTTTATTGTGCTCCTTGCTCTGTTGAGCTCCATGGATGAGTGATGGCTGATCCATATCAAGAGGTACAATATAAGAGTTTTTTTCCTTGAAGAATCTCTAATGGAGTTTTAAAATTTAAAGTACGGAATCTTAATTAAAAGTTGAGGTACCTTTTTGTTTGCTAGAATCTGACCACTTCTCCTTGGAATCCATGCCTTTTCATATGCTTTTCTTCTCCTTTTTAGACCATATTGAACTCCATTGGTTGCTAGAACTTGAATATGCCTTTCCATGCCTTTTCCTGTACTCTTCTTCTCCTTTTCAGACCATATTGAACTTCATTGGTTGCTAGAACTTGAATATGCCTTTCCAACTCCTTTGTCTCCATTGGATTGCTTCTAGGTAACTCATTAGGAACGACATCAGAAAATTCCTGCAACACAGAAATAAACACGGAAGGCAAAACTATTAAGGTTAATGTCAGCATTAGAAAATAAAACCTCCTTGAACCTAAGAAGCAACACGGGCTGCCTCAAGGCGATAGCACTCTTAACCTCTCCAGCTCGCATAGAAATGTTTGTTTCTTTCTTCCTCTTTCGGTGTTTCACTCGCCAACAGGTCATTATTTTGTTTTGTTTGTTCTGTTGGCCTCTTCTCCTCTTTTTCTTCACTCCTTTTACCTTTGGTTCCTCTTGAACTGCGAAGCCTCACTCCCATTTCTCTCAAAGTTGAGGCCACTTTCTCAGGTACTTCTTTGGTTCATCATATACTTTCAAATTCTGCAAAAGGGATCAACAAAACACCACTTGAAAAAGATGGTTTAGGGATCATTCGATGGTCATCATTGATGGTCAAACAAACTTCTTTGCACAAAGGTACAAATATAGGTTGAATTTGTTTTTCCTTTTCTTCTCCCTCTTTCTTTTTATTTGCACTCGGTATATTTTCACTCATTTTATTTTTACACCATTTTTCTTTATTGGTAGCCTCAAAACTCATCTTTTGCTTTCTATATTGGCCTTCATACACTTCTTTTGAGGAAAATTATCTTAGATTGGTTATCCACTCGTCCTTTGTGAATGAATATCTATCTATATTCTTCCTTCCTTGCACCCTTCGTAACTTATTGTTCAAATCCCTAAAGTAATGAGTAGGGATAAATTTTTGGTGCATCAACTCCTTCATGATCTCCCATCAAAGTCGCATTGCCTTTCTTTTTTTTTCTTTTTCTGTTTAATAGCAATTGTTCCCACCAAAACATAGCATAACCCTTGAACTCAATAGCTGCAAGGTGAGATTTCTTCTCTTCAGAATAGTTATAACATTCAAAGATTTGTTCTACCTTTCTTTCCCATTCAAGGTATTCTTCAGCGTTGTTGTTACCTTAAAATTCTGGAATCTTCATCTTGATGGATTCGAAGTGCCTATCAACCTTACCAACATCAGTGTTTTTAGCCTCCTCTTCATCATGGGCTTGAAATCTAGGAGTACGTGGATGAACTCTTGTTGCATTAGAGCTTCGGGCTGCTTTTATTTCTTGGAACTCCTCTCTCATGTCTTGAAATAGATTGTTGAAGTTTCTAAACTGTCCTTGGATTGATTCCATTAAAAGTTTCAATCGGGGATCCTCTATTTGACTCTCATCCCCACTATTATCTCTACTCATTGTTAAGAAAGAAACAGAAAAACAAGAATAGATTTGAGTTAATAATAAACACTCCCTCACGTGTTTACACTCTTTAATCACTCATTGCAATTCCTCTAATTGTACTTCAGAATCTTAGGTCAACCAATAAACTCAAAAGCACGTTTAGAAACAAGGAATAAAATTTAACAATAAAAGTAAGCACAAATTCTAGAAAGAAGACTCAAAACGTAATGGATAGCAGCACAAGAACAATACAATGTACTATTTAATTATCAATTAGAGTGTAGTAAACAAGCAAACACACCCTAACAATATATAGAAGCAAAAGAAAAGCTCAAAACAAGAATAAAGAAAGTAGAATTTAAAAGATAATTTCTAGATATAATGTATGAATTTAGTTTACTAAATTTAGTTTACTACAAAGCAAACCAAATATGGACCTAGTTAATTCTACCCCAAACAAAGCAAGTAATCAAAGAAAATCAAAAAATTCAAAATTTTTTTTTATAAGGTCAGAACCGAGCACGGGCGTGCTAGATGGAAGCACGGGCATGCGTGTATACTTGGTCCGACAATTGAGAGTCAGAGCCTAGTACGGGTGTGCTTGTTGTGAAGCACGGGCGTGCTGACTTGTATTCTCCCTTATCCTTTCAATATAACCCAATTTAGTTAGGATTAGATTTTGACAAGGGAATAGATTTTGACAAGGGATTATAGGGATAAACTAATCTCCAAAAGATATGGACAAATAATTCTTGTTACCTTATCCACAAAGTTAAGTTAAGATTAATTTTTTATCAATTATAGATGGATAAGCTGAATCTCCCAAAAAATAAGGTCCAAAATCTAAGAAAGTTGGAACAAAAATCGCCTATGAATTAGGAAAACATCTATGAATTAGAAACAAATCGCACACACACAACCAGCTTCAATGGTGGACAAATTTTTCTTACTCTTTTTTTTTTTTTTTTTTTTTTTTTTTTTTTTTTTTTTTTTTTTTTTTTTTTTTACATATCTAATTTATCCCATGTACCCGATTCCTAATTTGTTATATCTCGAAATAGGATAAACTGTATGACTGTAATTCCATTTTTCAAATCCTGACATTTTGAGACGGCATTGAGAATAATGTAATTCCCGTTTTGATCCGTCACATACTCACCCCCTAAAAGTTCTAACTGAAACATGCAAACAGCCTTTTTTTTTAGAAGTAAATACTAAATATGTATTATCATGTAAAACAATTGACAAATTAAATTTACGTATAGGGAAGATTTGCAGGAGATTTCCTTTCCTTAGATTGCTAATGTTCTTTGAGCTGTTTTTTGGGGCTCCCTCCCTCCCTTTATAAAAAAAATATATATATATATTTAACTTTTTTTTGTCTTATAATTTTTGAATGACTAACCCTTTGTTTGGAAAAAGAGGAAGGAAATATTAAAGGAAGAAAATAACAAAGAAAAATAGTGAGGAATTGTCAACTTTCTTTCTATAATTATTTTTCTATCTTTGAGTAGTTGTGTTTTAATATAATGAGGCGAAGAAAGTAAATTTATTTTCCTTTGTTTGGAAAGTGTCAAATTTTTTAAAAAAGAAAATATTGTTATTAAAAATTGACAATTATGTCCTCACTTAAATACTTAAGTATTTAAGATATTCTCAAAGTTTATTAATTAATTTGTGGTATTTGGGTAATTTAATAAAGATGAGTGAACTTCACACTTTTCTCTCAAAATTGAAGAGATTCAAAATATGTGGACCTAGGTGGAAAATAAGTGAAATATTACTTCCCTCAATATTTTTCTCCACTTTTCCAAATAACGGAAAATATATTTTCCTAGATATTTTTCGTAGTTATTTTCATTCCTTCAAAAAAAAAAAAAAAATCTCATTCAAAGAAAGGGTAAATGCATAAATTCACTCGCACGCTATACATCAAAAAAATTGCGGCACCCTCAACTTTACTTTGATCTATTGAACACATCAACTCATCATATTATGTCTATTAAACACTTCAACTTGAAAAATTTATTAATTATTCCAACTTATAAAATTAGATCGATTAAGAACTTATTGGATAATTGAAATTGTAAATCGGTGTTCCAAAAGCTACTGTAACACATATTAAATCAACATTTTATATATAAAAATAAAAAATATTTAAAAAACAACTATTGTTGCTATAGTAGAAATGTCAATATCACAGATTTTTTTTATGTAAAAGTAGAGAATTAATACTATACAATTAAAACTGTGGAGCCAGTGTTAGAGAAGAAAAAAATTTTCAAAATTAAAAGAGCACAATAAAAATAAAATTTTTGGACTATGGGTGTGAAACAACCCGAATTTTTATTTTCAAAACATTTTCTAATTAAATTTAATGAACCGACAGCCTGGAAATTCATATTAATATTTTAGTGCGAACACTATGACAAACCGAACCGGAAACCGATTAAAAAAGCCGTAAACCAATTGGAAATCAAACATTTGGGCCGAACTGAACCGAATCGAACCGGTTCGACCCAAACCATCTAGAAAATTCTCTTTTTCTTTTTATCTCCAACGCTAAACTCACCCCCCTCCCTCACCAGCTCACCTCCACTCCATCGGCACTGCCACCACCGCGCCACCTCCTCCTCTTCTTCTTCCTTTCTTTTCTTTTGTTCCTTTCCTTTCTTTCTTTCTTCCTTTCCTCTTCATTGCGCCTGCGTTTTTGGCGAGACAGCAGCAGATTGCGCGACACCTCTAGTCGATCGGGCCTCCTCGCGCGCCACCTCGCTGCAGCTTGACGTCGCAGCAGCTCTGCCAGTAGCTCCGCCCTCTGTTACGCCAGTTGCAGCTGCACACAGTTCCAGCGCAACACCAGACCGCGCCACCGCTTGCTCCACCACCAGATCGCGCCATCGCCTAGCCCTGCCGCCACTCCAGCGTGCCTCCGACCACCAGGAACGAGCCTGTCCAGCTTCTTCGCGTCATCTCCGCCTGCCTTTGCCATTGTCAGTCGGACCCGGCCACTTCCGGCGCGCGTAGCTCCGATCCAGCGCGAGCAAACTCCCGATCTAGCAACAAATTCGAGAAAAGATTATATTTTGGGGTAACAAAATTAATTTTAATAATTTTAGTTACTTGAATTAATTTTATTATTGTAGTTAATTAATTTAGTTAATTTAATTTAGTTATAATATTTAAATTTTATTATTATTGTAGTTAATTAATTTAGTTAATTTAATTTAGTAATTGTGAGTAGTTAAATTAAGTTAATTTAATTTTCAGTATTGATTTATAATATAAATGTCGATTCACTTAAAATCCTTTGATTAATTTATTGAGGAATTTTGATGATAATATCATGAATGGAATGAAATGAAGAATTGAGAAATTAAAGGTAATGTTGATGTTGATATTGGGATGGAGGATGAGAAAATTGAATTGATTAATTGCCCGATGGATGGGCTGTGTGGTTTGGATTTATTAGATAAATTGTTGATATTTTAACAGGTGGTTGATATTTTAACAGGTGGATAGTCCAATTTTTAGGGGAGATGTTGCCGAAATTTCGGTAGAAAATAAATAAAATAGAGTTAGATAGAGAAATAGAAATTTAGATATAAAATAAAATTCTTAGAGTGGTCAAGAAATACTTTGTCTAATAGAATTAATTTTGTGTCATTCCTACCTTGCTTAGATCGCCCGGGTCCATCTAGTGCTCCTCCAGGACAGAATCAAAGCTAGAACTTCGCTCTCCACCACTGTCAGTAATAATAAATAATGCATGTCAACACTGCATTTGCATAACATTACATTTTTATATTTACATAATTGTATTTTCTCATTATATTATGTTATGATCACATATAATATATACTTATGCATTATTGTGGCATTTGGATAAATTGATGTATTTTGCATAAATGAATTGTTTGGATTATTTGTGCTGTGTTATACTGTGCTCTGTTTGTGTGGGTATGGGATGAAGTGGGTCACCATGGGTTTGTGAGGGACGGTCGATTAAATACTGGATCTTGATGAAACTGATGGAAATGGGACCATCGGCCGGGTTAATGGGGAGATCGGGTCCCTGTGTGCAAATCCTGATGAATTGATGAAATGATGTTGATTGATATGGGAAAAGAAAAAGAGAGAATGTAAATAAAAAATATTGAGAGACTGGTCAACGTGAGGATCTAGACCGGTCGGGCCAGATATGGGGGATTGCTCCAACGGGTGCACATGACTTTGAGAGGATGGGCTGTTTGAGAGACGGGCTCGTCGAGGGGTATTAAGGTGGACACCATCTGACTAATTTCCACGTGATGTGATTATTTGAAGGTACTAATTTCCACGTGATGTGATTATTTGAAGGTGATATTGTTTGTGGGTGCTGATGTAATGTCATATGATTGACTGTTGTGTGTTCATTCAGTATATTATGGTGCATTTTGCTTGACTGTATGTGGTGTGTATTATTTATTATTATTCACTGAGTTGCAAAACTCACCCCTCCCCAACAAACCTTCCAGGTACTAGGAAGCAGCTGATTCGGCTGAAGCTCTGCAATCTTCTCTGCAGAGTTACAAATGTAAACTTTATATTCATGTTATTTAATTTTGGATGTATAAATTATTCTGTTATCAGATTATTTTTGGACTCCGCAGTTATAGATATAGTATCTATATTGGAGATACATAAAATTGATGGTAGATCAACTTACATATAATATACAATACTCTCAAATGTATATTAATAATAGCTTGCAGTATTATATGTAACGAATACAACACCATAACGTAGAGATATAAAATTTATTGCGCAGTTATAGGGTTGTGTATTAATATTGGACTTATTGTTAGCACTACACTATAAATTAAATGTTATGTAATTAGCTGCAGGTGAACCAGTAAACCCATAACGTGATTATAATTTATTGTGAATAGGCCCTGGTTATACATTATGTGTTATTTGAGTTTGGGCCAGATGTTTGAATATGGGTTTACTGTTTTGATGAAATTGGAAAAGATAGGTAGACGTATTGGATAATTTAGGCTTACTACGGGCCTCGGGGGCCTTAAGCTTACCTGGGCCCTAGTGCCGGTCCGGCCCATGGAAACGGGTCGTGACAGGGTGGGTACAACCTCTAGCCTCTTCCCTCTCCACTAAATTTGTTCTCTCATACATGGTATGCTCTTAAAGTACATGATAACTCATCAATTTGTCACTTATCATTGGCCACGATAACTAGGAGGGGGTCTCATTAATATTATCGATGATTAAAAAGTTATTAAATAAGATGATAATATACATTTCAATTCTGCATTGGCTTAATATATAAATTTGACCCTGAACTTTAATTAATTCTTCTTGGCCACTTCAATTTTCAGGGGGTTCAATTATGACCATGTATTTTCACATTTCAATAATAATTATAGCCCTCGTCAAAATGAAATATGATAGTGCAAGGTCATTGATTGAATCGCACAAAATTATTTCATTTTGATAAGGAACATAGTTATTACTGAAATGTGAAAATGTAGAGTCATGATTGAACCCCCGTAAAATTTAAGAGGCCATAAGGATAATGGCAAAAAATATGGAATCAAATTTATATTTTAAGTCATTCTATATTTAATCCATAAATAAATATACAATGTCTGGTAAAACAAAGAAGAAAAAATAAACTTAATTTTAGCATTGACCCATAATTTAGCTTACAGAATAATAGCTATAAATTCAATCTTGACCTATAATTTTACCATATAGAATAATCTTCATAATCTTCTTGTATCTTATCATGCCCCCTCAAGTTGGGGAAGGAATGAAAATGAAATCCGAACTTGCTTTGAAAAAGGAGGAATGGAGCTCGTGGTAAAGGTTTTGTGAATAAATCAACTAGGGGTGAGCATTTGATTTGGCCAATTCGGCCAAGTTGATTAATTCCACTAATTCAGCCAGTTTGATTTGATGAAACAAGAATCAGTTAATCATCCAGTGAAAGAAAATCTAATTTTCAGTGGTCGGTTAAAATTACCTAACCGAATTATTCCAATTAACCAACCTTCAAAACTACATTATTTTGATTAAGCATAATAATAAAAATTTCAGCTAACTTCTATTTCGGTTGAAGTCAGTTAATTATTAATTTCAATTAAATTCAATCTATTAATTAGATTTTCAATTTCTTTAACTTTGACGCAGTTAATAATCAAAATTATGATTTAAATAAGTTCGATTAATAGCTAAAACCTTAAAAGAGATAGAGGGACCAACAATAGACCAGAATTTTTGAAAAAAAGAAAAGGGACATGCCGTCTAGACTAGGAGCTTTGGAAGGGTGCATTTGTTTGAGAGCAACAAGTACCTCCTCTTGTGTGTATGCTCTGCAACGTTAAGCATTTTGATCCTAGGTGACCTTCCCCTCCACAGATTCCAAAACATCCTCATAAGCTGATGGGCTGGAAGACGAAAAGAGATTCTTAAAGTACTGGGTAAAGATTTCAGCCATGTCCTCCTCCTTCAAATAGCTTTTGCCTGAATCATCTAGAATGTGAGAAATGTAGTTTTTTTTTCTCCATCCATTCGCCTTTTGGTGAAAAAAACCCAGTATTTCTATCCCCCCTCCCAAAGCTAATCTACCTTAGACCGCTGTTTTCATAAAATTTACTCTCTCTCCAACAGTTCATTAAGTCAAAATTCTACCCTTTTTTGTTACGCTATAATTTCCTCCAACTACCTCTGAGATTGAAGTATTTGGAGAGTCTCCTGGAAACTAGATATTCCTCTCGTCATATGGCCAACATGGCCCCTTTCCCATTTTTTGAGACTAGTTTTGCATCTCTCAAATCAGTGCTCAATTGTTTCTTCTGCATTGGCCTATCTTCCCCAAACCAAGCTTCACTAACTGCAACTCGATGACTCTTCCTTTAACCACATAAGCTCAAAACAAAATGGCCTCTTCTTCTTCTTAGATTGCTTCTGCCGCTCACACGATAAAAAAATTAGGCAATGATCGAAATCTTTTCATAGTAAATGTGTAACCGAATACTCAGGGAACTTTGAAACCTAATCATTCGAAGCAACAAACCTGTCTAGCCGCTCTTTAATATTGCGCTCCCCACTTTGTCAATTTGACCATATGAAAGAATAACCTATATGACCCAAGTCCAACAGACCACAAAAATGCAATGTAGCATGGAAATCATCTAACTTCCTTTGAACCTTGATTGTGCCACCTATTTTTTCATGGTGGTAGAGAACTTCATTGAAATCTCCACCACAAAGCCATGGCAAATCCGATGCCCCTTTTAAATCTCATAATAACTCCCATGAACGCCCCTTTTGGTTATCTTTCGAATAACTGTAGAAATCGGTAAAGCACCAAGAATTATCAATAATGGCATCAATGTGATGCTAGAAAGCAAAAAGAATATGAATTGCAGCATTAGTAGACCATAATAGCAAGAGACCTCCCTTCCTACAAACAGACTAATCTCAAGGAACAACATTGCAGTAATCCTTGTCTCCATCAGAAATACCATATTAGGAACTTGCAACTTCAGAAGTTGCTTTAGCCGCCAAATTGTAGAGGCCTTTTGTCATGCCCCGACTCTAATCACCAAAAGAATTGTCCGTTTTGGTGTAGTCCATGGACGCCCTACACCTCGGTGTAGTCCCCGCATGCCCTACCCGCACGGTTTTGTCCCGCAGGTGAAATAGAAAACTTCCCAGGAGGTCACCCATCCTGAGATTTCCGTTAAGCGAGCACGCTTAACCCTGGAGTTCTTCCAACTCTCCAGCCATTCCATCAAAAGGCCGTTTTTAAGCGAGCACGCGTTTAACCCTGGAGTTCTTCCAACTCTCCAGCCATTCATCAAAAGGCGCCTCTAATGATTAGTTTTCCCCTTTTCCCATTCCATCAAAAGGCGCCTCTAATGATTAGTTTTCCCCTTTTCGATATATGATTCGATTCATTCCTGTGTCCCGCATTCCACTACCTAGCTAGTCTGCCATCCTAGAAGCTAGCCAGGAGCTTCGCTCTACCCACCCTCTTAGGATTGCTTTGCCGGGTCGGGATGTCACAGTTCCAACATAATAGATTCATAATGCTCGGCGGGATTGCTGTGCAGTCACCGCCGTTTCAAAAATTGGAACCTGCTCCTCAATGCCATCTACCCTTTGTTTCTTCAAAACACTATCCATCTCCATGAACTGAACTTCTTGTGCCCTCCTAGCTTCCTTACGCTTACTTAGATCAATAGCTACTTTGGGTTCTTTGGAGGGAGTCGATGCCTTGTAAGCTCTTCTTTTCAAAAAAAAGCTCTATTATTAGAACTGGCTTTGGGATTTGGTGGTGTACCGAGATAGGCGAGGCTGATTTGGTTGGGGTCATGTTTATCTAGGAGAGAAGTCAAAAATACTAGGTTCATAAGTAGATGGAACTGTTTTTTTATGGGAGAAAACAAAGGTAGATTGAGTGTTTGTGATACTATGCGTAGGCATTGTAGCAAGTTTGGGTAATGTGGTGTTTAACTGGATAGGTGGGCCAGGGATTACTGTAGCATAAGGTAACAAGTCATTTAGGGGTGTAGGGTTTGTATAGGGCTATTAGGGTCTTAAGATAGGTGAGCTGGGAACAACAGTATCTTAAAAGGGAAGTTACGTGTCAGCATAATCTCTGATAAAAGCAGGCTTAGATGGGTTTGTGGAAGAATGACTTGTCCCATTAAATGCATTATTATGTTTGGATTGCATTAACCTGTTAAAATTGTCTTCACCCTCTTCTTCACTGCCAGTTTTAGCCAAAGTTCTAACATTCATCAACTACAACTGTTGTAAAACTTCCTCTGTATCCTCAGAGTCCGCCACGTTAAGAACCTATACATGCTCTGCCCCTTGCTCCTCATCCTGATTACTATTAGGACCCGCTAGTCTCGAGAGGGAAGAACTGTAACCAACACTAGGCTTCTGACATAGTTGCTTTCGTACACCCTTGTCATTCTCCACTGCAACCTGGACCCTGAGAACTCGCTTAAAAGAGGATGCATGAACCTTTTCACCAAATCTGAGCAAGGATTGATCAAGGATAGTTGATCCATCTAATTCATCACAATGCTTCATTTTGTGTCCACATTTGCCATAGTTATAAGAAAAATTAAGACGACCTTCGAATTTCAACTTAACTGTGATGTGTTTAGAAGCCAGCATCAAAGACAAGCTATTAACTAGAGGTTTACGAAGATCCCAGAGAATTCAGAACCTAATAAACTTGCCCTAAATTTTATCATTCTCTTTTGACCATTATGAGAACGTACCTAGCATATTTGAAATTCTTTCTGCCTCAACTTGTTTCATCCCTCGCAAAGGAAGATCATAAACTCGAACCCAGAATGGAACATGGACAAATTCCATAGAAGAGGGTTGTTCATTGCCCTTAATCTCTTGCAAAACCAACATGTTCTTTTCAAAGTGCCACGGAGAGTTGTCTAGAAAAAACTGATAATCCTGCCACTAGTTAAATTAAAACAAAAAGACATCTTTTGTCCATTCTCTTCCAACAATGCCATGCTTCGATTTCCAGACCCTTGTCATAGTATCAAGGAGTGCAAACTTATTGTATGGTCTGTCTGTCCACAACTTTGCAACAAGACTCAAACTGATTCTAGGGGTTTCTTCTTCTAATTCTGAGTTGGGGATGACAAGATCAATTTTTTTGTCCATTGTTGTTATTCCTTCAGTTTTCTCTTTTCAACTTATAATTGGAACCATCGGTTTTAGAGAAATTTAGAAGCTTTGAGAAGACTGTCACCTTTCGAACAAAAGCCTAAAATAAGAGAACCAACAAACACACTACAAGATACAAGAAAAGAAGGGAATAATAGGAGTGAGAAACAAGAAAAAGGAAAAAAATAGTAAAGCTACGTGAAGAAAAGGACAAGATAAAAGGAATAAACAACTCTATAACTCA